TCCTTCCTTCCTTGCTTTCTTCTTCCCGTTTCTGTTTCTTCCTTTTTCTCTTTCTTCCTCCCTCTCTCTTTCCTTCTTTTTTCTGTAGCAAGGTGATAGGTGAGATGCAATGCATACTTGAATTTGTTTATTTTCCTTTGTAAGGGAGATCTTAAATTTCACTCTTCTTTCTTTTATTTTTCTTTCTTGCTGCTTCATTATGGAGTTTCCAGAGGTCATTTCTTCCTTACTTTTAACCTTCTTTCTCCAAAATGCTACCTTTCCAAGATTGGCTCCTCATCTTACATGAAATTTTAAATAACTTTCTCATATACAGTACTTTCATCTAACAGGAAAGGTGACTTTTCTCTTTCTGGTGGTGACTTAAGATTAATTTTAGAACTGCCGTCAGTCTTTTTGTTTTCTTCACACAGGTATTCCCAGGCTAGTCATGCTCTCCATGTTGACTTGCAGTGAAATGCAAGAGATAACTCACTAAATTGGGTGCTTAATTTATATTCTTACCGCTAGATAATCTGGGTTTTTTTGTCCTTTGTCTTCTACTTATAATGAGAGCACAAGTATTATTTTTTCTGCTTTTTATTTATTTATATATCTATTTAAAGTATATTGGGATTTTCAGATATACCAGTTGTAGATATCTTGAAGAACATTTATAGAAGAGTATTTCACAAACACTTTTCCCCACTCACTCTTACCTTTACCAGCTACATAGTTTTCCTCTGTTTTATTTTCTTTTTTGATTTTTCTGTCTTTTCCCATAATTCCTTAAATATATTATCTTCTAAATGCGCTACACTCATTTCTCTATATTTCATATTTTCTCACACAGAAGGTAATAATCAATTTCCAGATTTGTTGTTCATATGCTCTGAGACTTACTAAATACCATATTTTTGTATGTGAAGGGCCATTACACTAAAGTTAACATTGTGACATTAGCATCATGCTAGGTCAGAATTATATATTTTCCCATTAGTGTCATCTATCTTGAAGAGGGCATGGAAAATTATTTTTACAATCTTTTTATTATTAAAAAATTAATAGAAATATGTGAAATGGAGTTGACGCATGGAGATGATTTATTTCAATTCCTTTTTTTGATGAAAACATTGAGGCTCAAAGCTACAACGTTTTACTAACAAAACATTTGCACTTTTGTTAATATGTATTATGTCCACTTGTATTATTCTCATTTTACATATATGAATATTGATACAAGGACTTCAGTAATTTGTCTAAAATTACATCACTGGACATTGGTGAATGACCGAGTTGAACCTATGCATTCTGTCTCTGAGTTCTGTGGTCTAAACAATATATGATTGTGCTTATCTTTACATTTATATTCAAGTGATCTTTCTCTGGCTCTCTCATATTATAACTCATCAGTAAAATAGAAAAATAAAATAAAAGTAAACCAACTTTTTGAATGGAATGCTGATTACATTTTTTTAACTTCTAATTAGGAACCATTTAAAAAAATAAAACTCTTGTGGGTTGCATCGAGCCCAGGAACATAAAAATGACAATTGCTGAAAGGGATCTTTAAGTAGGTTTTTTATGTTGCTGTCAATAATTCACTGGGAAAGACAGAACCACTTTCTAGAAAGAAAAAATTATATGTTCACTTCACTATTTGTCTTACATTTGAATAAGTACATTGTAAGAGTTAGACTCAAAAGCTAATATATGAGTATGGCTCCTTCTTACCAAAGAAACTGTGGGACCAATTACTCTTTTTTCCTCTAAGTATTACACTTACTAAAATTACAAATCTTATGTTTCACATTATATGTTCTACAAAGGATCATCTTCTTTTTCAAGCACTTCATAAATATATATTTAAATTAAAAAATATCTGTGCTGGTCCAATTGATCAAGATAGAATTGATAACTAAATCATTACCTGGTGACTGGTATTTCTCCCATCTAATATATATATATATATATATATATATATAGATAGATAGATAGATATAGATATATATAGATATATGATTTTTTTCTTTTTTTTTTTTTTTTGAGATGAAGTCTCACTCTGTTGCCTGGGCTGGAATGCAGTGGCTCGATCTGAGCTCACTGCAATTTCCGCCTTCCAGATTCAAGCAATTCTCTTGCCTCAGCCTACCGAGTACCTGGGACTACAGGCACACGCCACCACCCCCGGCTAATTTTTTTTTTCTTTTTTAGTAGAGACAGGGTTTCACCACGTTGCCCAGGCTGGTCGCGAACTCCTGAGTTCAGGCAATCCACCTGCCTCGACCTCCCAAAGTTCTAGGTGTGAGCCACTGCACCCTGCCATTTATTTTTTATTAACACAGGATTGGTTTGGTTTGGCTCACAGATCTTGGCCACTACGTCCTCTCTCTGTTACACTGCATACTCTCAGGCTGTAGCAATGAGGAGAATCAGAATTTACTCTCTTAGATGGGAAGAATCACTTTCTTATTAGGGTCCTAGATGAGACTGACTTAAAAATTGCTCCTGGCACTTTCATGTTATAATGAAAGCTGTCTCTCCACCTTTTTATCCCAAGTAGTAACAGTAACAGAGAACCTTGTTCAATCATCTCACATCTAATAGTAGACGAGGTTCACTTGAATTGATTGCCAGTTAATATTATAACCATTCACTATAAAATGTTCAAGGGGAAGAAACTACATTCATTAAATAAAACAGGATAACAGGGAAGAACATATATTTTATATTTTGTGGCTGAGAAAATTTTAATATTTATACATTAAAATGGCAATTACTTAAGTATTTCCTTAAATTATGAAATTATTGATACTCAATGTTTCACAAAGGGATTTCTTATTCTTAAAACTGTCTTTTTTGTTAAGCTTAACATCAAAGAAGGTGAATTACGAACCTTCTATGCGCAAACATATTTAGCATAAATTATCTCTTTTATTTTCTTTGATGGATCTAGAATGCCTACCAATAGCTGTAACTATTTTTCTATTTTTAAAATTAAACATTTAATAACCACCAATAACATTTTTGAGTGCTTTAAAAATAGTGTCAAAATAGATCATATAATTTCAGTCAGTCAAGGATGTGAACATTTTACCTATAGCCTTATGTTGACTTTCCACGAAATGTTTTTAAAATCTTGCCAAGTACTTAAAGACCACAGTTTCATCATTCACAGGCAGCCTAGAATCATAGAGTAACACTGCGGTTATAAACAATGTTTCTTTTTGTTGTTGTTCTTGTGACACCCTTCCTCCTTCAAAAATATACGATATATTCAGTAATATGTTTTTCACCAAAGTAGTGGTTTAAGTACTTGCTTGATTTCAGTTTAAGTGAAATACCTAATATTTAAAATTATTTCCTTTGGTGTTTTTAATATCTGAATTCAAATGAACAAGATTTAAAAATCTTGTTATGGCTCAATATAGACAGCAAAACATATGATCAAAATGAAAGTATGATTTTACATCCTCAGGCCAGTGGCTTATCTACTGGAGCATGTTCGGTCCCTGGTGTGGCACAGAAACATTCAATTTCATTCTTGCTTCATGAAGAAATATCACCGTATAAATGGTCCATGTAGCAATTTGACCATTTACAATTGAGGGGCCACTTTAAACCAGAGTAACATACCCAAGAGAGTCATACCGACCACCCCCAAAAAAATAACAGGTTTATGCAGTAGTTTCAGGCACCAGAGGGAACAGCTTCTTCACAGATAACAACTTAAAATGAAGTAGCATGTTCCAAAAAGAACAAAATGTCTCCTTAGAATGAACAAGTAAGTTGGTTTGCTAAAAGGCGCAGTGAATTTCCTCCAAAAATATTGTGGCTAACTGATCTTATTTCACTTCTACCCTAAATCGTCTCTACTTTGACATGCAGTGAACATGTTTGAGGAATTTCAGTAATTTTAAAATGAAACGTTTTATTCATTAGGCTAATTCATATTCTATTTTAAAAAGACATGATGACACAACAAATAAAATACATTGTTTTACTGAAAACTATATTATAGGCTAGCCCAGGAATTCAGAAGCATTTCCACCTTTGTAAGTTTGTGTGATAGTTGAGTCAGACCAAAAGAGTTAACAGAATAATTTGAGAAACACTAGCCCCAGCATCTTGAAATGAATGGCAAGACACAGAAGCCTACAGCCAAAGGTAACGAAGAGTAAGTGTGAATAATATAAAGAATAGTAAGGAGTTGGAGTGGTAATCAGATGTCAGAGGCAAATATTTCTGGAGGTTGTCAAACAGTAGGCAAATAACCATAATATATCAGATAAAATAAATTATAAATCTAATATCTAGACCATATCAGGAAATTCTGGTTTTGATTGTGTACAGGTATGTCTTCATTTGCTGAACAGATTTGTGAAACAAATTTCCTGCAAATAAATTCCAGAGTAATGTTTTGAGGTAGTGGAGAAGACGTAAGATTTGGAATCAGACAGATTTGGGTATCAATTCCAACAATTGCCTCTGAGGGCTGTGTTAATTTGTAGAAATTATTTACTTACCAAAGTCTCAGGTCTTCTATCTGTAAAAATGGAGCAGATAAAAAGTGTTTAATTACCTGGAAGTGTCAAATAAAAGATATACATGAAATACCTATGAACACAAAACTTGGCTAATGCAAGTTTTTTTTTTTCCTCTCCTTCTTCCTCTTTTTTTTTTTTCCTTCTTCCTGTTTAAATTCCAGTCTCTTGTGGATATATAAATAAAAGTAGAAAAATATGTTTTGGAGAAGTTCCTTCAGCAAATGAACCTTTTAAACTATAGTATCAGAGAGGCACAGAATGTTCTGAGGCCTCTACCTTTTCCCTTACTAGACTATTTCAAATTTTCCTTTGCTGTCACAGGGAATTCTCAATATTTAATGATTCCCATATCACAATTTCTCATCTCTATTGGTCTGTCTATAGATAATGTTGCATTGCAAAATTCTCTGAGGCTGTACTCAAACTTACTAGAAAAATGTGTCATGGTTGACGATAATGTTCCATATATTCTAGAGTAGATCATTTTCCCTCTCTGAAATTGGGGTGTGTCTCGGAATCAGTGGCATGTCACAGTCTAGTTGGCAACAGTATTTTTCTGTTTTTCAATTGAACATAAAATAATGGTGTGTCTCATGATTGATGACATCTTAAAGAAACATGGTAAACAGTGTCTGCCATAGGCACAGAAGAGACAATGGAGGCCAGCCATCTTAGACTTAGTAAATTTTATTAACTTTAAAATTTATATTGTGTAAAATCAGTTGCACTGTTTTATCAAGAGCCACTTTGTAATTCTCTAAAACCAGATTACTTAGATTCAGATATACTTATATGCATATAAAAGTAAAGAGATATAAATGTATTTTCTACTTTCTTTATGACTCTAAGTTTATTAATGGTATGTGAAAGGTATTTATATTCATTCAGTATTTGAACAAAACCTTACCCAGGTTTTCAAAATATTTGCAGAGATGATGCATTGACTGTAGAGAAATGTGTTGGTTTTTTTTCTTACAGACACTTTTTATATAATATTTTATAACCTGTAGATGGCCAAAACATACATACATACTCTAGAAAAAAATACTTATTCTAGTCATAATACAAACTCTAGAAAAAAAATGTTAAGGTGTTAAATGTGGTCATATTGAATTTTAATAAGTTTAATTAAAATTAATTTTTTTAAAGAATCATTAAAACCATGGCTAGAGTTCTATGATCTATCCCTATATTTATATATTCTTATTGGTTTATATAATTATAATTTTAGATAATTATTTACATTTCTTTATATATTGTATACCTCTAAATATATGGTGCATTAATTCTAAGACATTGATTCTAAACTTTTAAGTTCTCTAAAAGAGAATCTTCTCTTAGAGTCAATGTTATAATTATCATTGGTGGAGGTTTTATTTTCCTTAATGGTACCAAAATGCATTGTACATTCTACAACCAATGGAATCTCAGATTAAACAAGTGGAATAGAAAGATAGATATAAAGACAGCTAAGAAAGATAAATTTTTTACACAGATACTTATTACCCTACTCTTTTTATCCTCATGACATAAATTATTCTTCTAGAAAATATATTGCAGGAAAATATATTACAAACCAATAATTACCTTTAAGAGAAAGTAACTTACTCTAAATTTCTTCAAAATGTGCAAAGAACTCAGTATTTTAAAGATATTCTTCTAATTTCCAAAGTATTATAACGTCATAATATTATGGAGTAGAGCAAAATTATAGAGTAAAAGAATATAGGTGGTGATTATAGCCTGGATTATAAATTTATTGATTATTAACATTATTTCTTTTGCAAAGAAGCTGAGTTTGTGCTCAAAGATTAATTAATTTTTTTTCTGGTGATAGAAAGTTATTTTTATTTAGGGAAAAATATTACATAAATAATATTATTTTAATAATCTTTATGTATTCCATATTTGATTTAATTGAAAATGAATCCATGAATCATATTTAAAATCTCACTAAAATATATTCCATTTTTAACTAAAAGTAAAAATACATTAATCAAAATGTTGTCACCTTTCATCTGGCATAAATCACTAATTTGAGACTAGTTTAAATTATTAAATAAGTATGTGTATAAAGATATAACTAAGTGAATATCCTTTTCTGTTAATATTAGAAAAGTTGAAAATATTTTAAGCATTTCCAGCTATGATGGTTTGAGTAAATACATTACAATTCATTCATGTAATAAAGACTATGCTTGTTATCAAAAGTCAGATTGTTAAAACAGGCATGAAAAAGAGTTAATGTCTGTGAGATAAGGTTACTACAATGATTACAAATTTACTCACATATTGGGAAACACAAATGCTTATTACATTTTCAATATAAAAATGTGGATACTTCTGATTTTTCTATAGTGCGACTCAGTTTTGTATATTTAAAAAATAAGGAAAACAAGACAGAATACACCAGAGCCAATAGAACTTAATGCTAAGAGGAGCTAGGAAATGGGAACAAAAACTTAAAGACAAACAATTTTGTCCTTTTATGTGTATTCTTATCTAGTTTACGCAAAGAAAGCATAAGTGCATCATCTGGCTGATGATTAATTGAGTGTTTAACTTCAGGCAGGCAAAGGTATGTTGGAACTAGCACACATACAGCAATAGCTCTCTCTATATGTAGACATTCCTTGCACAAACTGTGGAACTTATAAATCAGCACCTCTCTCTGTTTTTTCTTAAATAATGACTCTAACTTTGTATCCTTCCTTTACTCATATTGAAAGTCATCCACAAAAGAAGTTTTCAGATTGTATGGTTAGTATTTGAACTGGCAGCAGTGACCTGATCTGAGAGCACAGCCTTTTTTGACAAGCTTTGATGTGCTGTCAGGACAAATCCTGGGCTTCTTGGCATCAGGTTTTAATTTACTATCATGGAAATGAATTGCATATTCAGTACTAGGGCAGATAGTGTCTGTCTATTACCAATCTTGGGAAGGAGTTGGAGGCACTGCTTAAGTCAAATAACCTGAAAAAAAGCTTACAATTTGTCAGTTTCATTATGTGTCTAGTAATTTGTCTCATTCATAATAAGTGTTTAGGGCATTTTTGACTGGGTTTCAGGCATGCATTACCTCTGACAGTAAACTCTGTTGCCACATGTACTCTGGGAGAGCACTGGTTAACAGCATATGGGAACTCTTTATCTCACTGCTTATAGAAATATTCAACAGTGCTACAGTTTTAGACACTATTAGAAATAAAAGTACTGAGATCAAAATAAAGAGAATTTTCACTTCTTACAATACTCAATTCATAAATGTCTTACACTCTACGTGTCTGTTTTGTGTGTGCAAATAAATGTTAATGAGTGCCATGATATCTTTAAAGTAATAAGAAACCTTAGAAATTGCAATTCAAAGTGGTTTTATCCTGAACAGCAGTGCAAAGCCCTGGTTTAGGAAAAATTAAGAGCATATGTTCCAGAATTTAGCCCTAATTTGCAATGAATTGCTTCAGTAAAAGCATTTATATCAGTATTGTTAATCTTAACAGTTACAAGTGACCCATGTTTTAACAATCCAGAACATCAGTTGAGTACAAAATCTCTTTTTCTAATTAAGAATGTTTGACCACAAGAGGGAGTTCCTTGCCAACTGTTGACTTAGCTTCAACAGATAGGATGGGCCTGAATTTACAAAGAAAAATACCTTCAAATATATTTAGTTTCCTCAGTGCTTTTAGATTGAGAAAATGGTGACAATCTATTTAAATTTAGGTCTTCATGAGTTTACAGAATGAAATATAATTTGCACTATGAAATTCTTAGGTTAGCATACCAATCATTTTTCAGGAATGAAATGATGTGCCATGTTTTTGAAAGAGGTTTCAAAATTTGCACCTGCAAAATTGCAGTGCACCAGTTTGTGAACAAAACCCACAGTGACATACCAAAGATCCTTTGAGGCCATAGATTGTGCCACTGTACACCACTTAATTTGCATGAATAAAGATAGCTTTGTCTACATAAACTGACACACATATTTTTGCTGAATTCGGTATCATCAGTGAATACAGTCTAGGATGTGGAATGTGACTTTGAAGGTACAAAATTAAGTTAGCATGTTTGAAGAAAAAAGTAGTTAATGGTTCAACTAGTGGACTCCTTGGAATACAATTAAGACTATTTTCCTCATGATTAGGTACATAATATACCCAATATCTCAACCACATATTAGAAAGCTGAAAATATTTCCTGCCTCATAAGGATTTGCCTTAAAATTACATGTACTCCAGAGCATGCTAGTAAAGTGTGTACTGACACAACTTTAAAAATGTATCAGCATAATTAGGAAATATTTTATGTATGCAATATTCTATGTGTACTTTTTCATTTAAGGTAAAAATATAGGATTGTTTTAAAACTTGCATGTGATTCCACCAAGAATTTGACTTCTGCTCTGATTATTCTTAAAGTTTTACACTGTTTCGTCCTGAAGTGACACTCAACGACATCTTCCTCACCTTAAAGATGAGAGCAAGAATTCTTCATGTCAAAGCACAGGGGCATTTAGAGACAGGGACTCTAGCCATACATATCGAGATAATTAATACATGTAATAGTAGTAAATGCAGTAATTTTGGCAAAACTTGTTTGGAGGAAATGACTGCATCTCACATGTGTG